AACCTAAAGGAAACTTCAGAAAACCTAAAGTGCTATAAAATGGAATCATTTCTACTTTGTCCTTTTTGACTTTTGTTGTAAAGATCAGTTGTATCAGTTGTAAAGATACATTGAGTTAAACTTAAGGAAAAATTTTAATGAAGGAATGTACCCATGTACATATGTGAACTTTTTCATATTGTATTATTAATGCAGAGACCTTTTTGGTTGTATTACAATTGAGCCAAAAACAAAGTAAACAAGCTGTAGTCTTTTGCGTTTAAAGCAAACTAATATATATATTACATTTTATTGAGCCTAATTCTTTACCAAATGGACAAACAGGAAAAAATGATTGTACAGTTTATATAAGTTGCACATAACCACAGTGAGAATAGTTAATTACTCAGCTTAAAAACTTTTTATGCCCTTATTCTTGTTAGCCCAACTGGTATTCTATTTCATCCACCCCTTATTACATGTTCTTCCAGGAATTATACCTACAATAGTTAGGTAAAAAACAGGAACCTAGAAGCCAAACACTGGGCAGCATGTGTACAGAATCACTTCCCTGTTCCTTTTATTTTTCACTAGAGGCCCAGCACACAAAACTTGTGCACTCGGTTGGAGTCCCTCAGCCCAGCCTGTGCACTTTCACAGTCCAGGAGTCCTTGGGGGATATCCACAGCAGAGGCAAGAGAGGCTCCCAACACTGCTGCTTTGCTCACCAGCCTTGAGCCTGGCTTCTGGCTGAGCAGTGCTCCCCCTGTGGGATTGCACTGACCACCAGGGGGCGGCTCCTGCATTGAGTTTCTTCCCCTGGTGGTCAGTGTGAATCATAGCTACTGGTCGTTCCGCTGTTTGGTCAATTTGCATATTAGTCTTATATTATGTAGGATGAGTGCTGATGTGTTTTGGCAGGTAAGCTTTCAGCTAAGGTCTGATGAAAGTAGAGATAACCTGCAAAGACATTAATAATATTTATGAGTTATACCTTACTTAGTTCATGAAATTGTGAAATGCATGATTGACAATTTTTCTCCCCACATAATACCAATACTGTTTAACTATAATCAGGACTGGCTAAAATTTTTACATTTTCAGAGTTCAAGTTAGTGAATATATTCATGATTTAAATGCCATATTCTAAAAGAGGCTAAGTCAACTTTGAAATGAATCTGCAATCAGTATTTCAAAGCTTCTCTGGTAGTTTTAGTGATATTATTTGACTAGACTTTTTCAGAATTACTAAATAAGAAGTTTTAACAGATTTTTATTATTGCACAGATAAATAGAAGTACAGTGAGGTTTACAGCCATTTTGTTAAAGTAGCTTAAAAGTTTGTAATAAAGATGAATCTTTGTAATTACTTAAATGTTAGTTAAGAACCCATAAACCTCATATTTCCTAGTTTTACAAAATTATTTTAAATGCATTTGTCCTTTTTTTGACATTTTCAGTAGAATACATAGCTAATTCTTGTTTTCTGAGGTAAAACACTTTTAAATATAACCTCTCCATCCCCAGAATAAAAAGTTTTGATCATAAGGAGAAATTTGAGGATGCTAATTCTGTGTTTCAGAAGGGTTACTGGTAATTGCACATAAACATTAAATTCTTTCTGTTGTACTCAGGTTCTAGGCAGAATTCACATTTATAGAGGGGTTTTTTTGTTTTGTTTTTTTAAGAAAAGGTTATCACTTATTGGAGGTACAAAAATTCTTAAACTTAGGTTTAGAAATTATTAAGCAACTAGAACAAGATATAGTAATTTACAAAAATTGTTTTTTCTACCATATCAAAGTAAGCGGTTCCTGCCTTTGCTCTGAGTAGAGTCAGGCTTATGAATGAATAGGTTTGATCATGTATTTTTTTTAAATGGAGTTAAAGGGAATTAATGTGTAACTTCTGGGTATTAGAATGGGAAGATGAATCTAAAACATACTCCTAGAAATACTTCATGTATAATACTGTAAAAATTTTACAAATGAAAACAATGAAATTTCCTGTCTTAGTTATTTTGTCATAAAAACAATCACTTGGTTATAAGATAGTTGTTACTTATACAGCAAAATTTCTTCAGCAGTCTAGACATTTTATAAAATGAGAAATCTTGAGCCAATTGGTAATATTTCCAACTGTATTAACATTTAAATGCTATAAAATACTATGTGAACCTCTTAAAATTCTGACATTCTACAGTCTGTATTAGACATGCTGATTTTATAATGTTTTACTTCTGCCTTACGATTTAGGTTTTTTTTAAATGTACTTTTGCCCTGAATTAAGTGTTAATTTGATGAAAACTGCTTTTGAAATCATCACTGGGTTCTAATAAATTAAAAATTAAACTTGTTTTACTATTTTGCTGATTTGATAATCACACTTATGTGATGCAAATAGCTACATTTTAACATTAAAATTTGAGTAAATTTAGAATGGCAGAAATTTTATACCAGGACTGTTTACTGTCTAGTTTATTCAACAAACAAGAGGCCCAAATGCACAAAATTTGTGCAAGAATAGGCCTTTCGCAGCCCCAGCTGCCTTGGCTCTCGCATCTGCAGCTTCGTCCAGAAGGTCATCCGAAGGTCATCCGACAGTCGTCCTGCTTTTCAGCCTTTAGGTGGTTTATTTGGATAGTATGCTTTCATTATGGTAGATATTTAATGCTTCTTATATGCCCAGCATTGTTCTAGGCACAATAGTAAGAGTCTGCATGGATAAGACAGACCAGGTTTCTTTCCTTATAGAGCTTACTACATTTAACTGGGAGCAGTCAGACAATACACAAGGTAAACACATGAACTAGGTAATTTTAAATAGTGGTAAGAGCTATTAAAAATAAAACAAGGTTCCAAGGTCTTTAAAGTTCCAAATTTTCAGGTTTTCACTTAACTGAAACATTACAGTTGTGAATCTAGAAAATCATGAGCAAGAAGGAGAAAATGAGGCTGAAGAGTTATGGAAGGGGTAAGATAGGGAGAATCTTGTCAATTCAGGTCACTTGCTACTGACCCACAAAAAGAAAATGCAGAATATAAAATATACATGGAAGGTGGATTCTAGGGAAAATATTCTGACTTCAAAATGATTTCTAAAATATGTCCTTTGCCCTAACTGGTTTGGCTCAGTGGATAGAGCAATGGCCTGCGGACTTAAGGGTCCTCAGTTCGATTCCAGTTAAGGGCACATGCCCTGGTTGCAGGTTCGATCCCCAGTAGGAGGTTCCAGGAGGCAGCCAATCAATGATTCTCATCATTGATGTTTCTATCTCTCCCTCTCTTTTCCTCTCTGAAATAAATTTTAAAAATATATGAATACTAGAGGTCCGGTGCACAAATTCATGCACAGGTGGGGTCCCTCTGCGTGGCCTGCAGGGATTGAGCAGAAACCTGCAGCTGCAGCTCCTACCTGCTACTCATGCTCATCCTGGCCCACTGTGCCTGCGGCAAGCTTGCGCCCAATCAGGAGAGGCTTGTGCTGCCACAGCAGCGCTCAACAGCCTTGAGCCCTCCCAAAGGGAGTGGCCTTCAGGATTGGGCTAAAACTGGCTCTCTGACATCCTCCAAGGGGTCCCAGATTGTGAGAGGGCACAGGCCAGGCTGAGGGATCCCACTGGTACACAATTGGGCCGGGCAGTGCTCCGGGGCATGTCTAGCCCATCTTGCTCAGTCCTGTTCAGCCAGACCCAACAGCAAGTTAACCTACCCGTTGGAGCAACTGTCCCCTGGTAATCAGTGCATGTCATGGCAAGCTATTGCACAGCCTTAACATATCATTAGCATATTACACTTTGATTGGTTGGTTGGTTGGTTGGTCTGCCGTTTGGTCTATTTGCAAATTACCCTTTTATTTAAAAAAGAAGGTAAACCATTTTTTAAAAAGAAGGTAAACATTTAAAAAATAAATAAGTCCTTTTATTTTTAAAAAAATCTGAAGATGGTTTGCCGTTTTGACTTATCGTTTGTATAATGCTGTAAAACCAAAAATTGCTAAAATATGAGGGCAGAGAATTTGCTAAATCACACACACAAAACTAATGAAGGAGATCATCACTTGCTATAATGGCTGACCTTGGAAACTTCTCTTCCCTTACATGTTTGACTCAATCAATGGCTCCAATAAGACAATCAAACACTGTAAACATCAGTCCATTTCCAAAGCCTTAACATCACAGGTAGGTCATCAATATTCAGTTATAATTGTGCTACATCTAGTTCCTTTTAAAAGACACTCCTCACTAAGTGTTCCAGATGAAAATTCAACCAACTATACTAGAAAAAGAGGGAAGTTTAATGGTTCATATAAGCAAACTGCATAAAGAGCAGAAGTCCCCTGGACTTGAGAACAATTGAAACTAGGACTTGAATGCTTCCAACTTTGTTTCATCAACTCTATTTCTGTTTCTCTCTACTTCCTTTTCTCACACCAGCTCCCTCATCCAAAGCTCTAACCAAGACTTCCAGCTGATTATATTTTCCAAGAAAATATGAAAGGGCTGCTGCTCTTTGCTTAGTTCCATTTCAGAAAATCTGAGGCAAGGGTGTATCTGTGGTTGAATAACTTGATTAGCCCTTTCAGATTAGTAACAGCTACAAAAACTAGATAAGATATATTGAGCAACTGTTTTGGGACAGCACAAAACAAATTTCCAAGAGAAGGTGAACTTCAGCAGTTGAGCCCCACAATCACTCAGCTTCCTATGAAGTAAATGGGTTGGAATGCTAGCTGAGAGGGCAGTGATCACAGTGAGGAGCAGCTGAAGCAGAGAAGAGAGAGCTTTTCAGAGAGCTGGCCCCAGAAATCCATATGGGGTCACAGGCCAGAGCTGTACATAACCAGAGCAAGACCACATGACCCTTACCGGATAATAGTTGCTACACAGTTGAAAATTGAACAGAAGTACCAAAGGTCAACAAGTGTTGGCATAAAAGCAGTACTAAGGGACATTGAGCTTCTGGACCTGCCAAGGTGGAGATCTCATCCTTAACAACTGTGACATCCAGTTGAAATATTAG